AGACCACACCTAAAATGATCTTGACCAGGCCATCCATTTAGGCCCACATCTTGGCCCAATTCATTAATGAAAAATGCTGGCCTATTGAATATACTTAAAAGCAAGTACATAAATTTGAGAATTACAATTAACTATCATAACTAAATGTACCCAAATTAACTATACAAAACAGATCACTGAAAGAACAAGTTTATACAATTTAATCATAACAACTAAATAATCTAACTACTCATTAACGAAAAGCTTCACAAAAAATGATCCATCCTTCTGCTAAGGCGGCATACTTCCATCCAAGGAGATTTTGTGTTTCAAAACAGTGCTTGAGTTTGCAAGAGTAGCTATAGAACTAATTTGCAAATCTGCATTTGACTACTATAGTAGCAGACAAATGAGACAAATAGTTAGTACAATTATAACCCTTCATGGTTTCAACACATAAGGAAAGATTAACCAACATTGTCAAAATCTTTTCTAATACTATCTCACAGGCTTCATTAGTTAGTTTACCATGTCAAATAACGAAACAACAAAATGAGAGCAGGTTTCAGTCTTCATATGGATCCCATTGACGATTTTAAGCATGCTGGATCTTCACATTATAGTCTGAAGTTTTTTCAAAAAAAAAAATTAAAAGCTTAAACATGTAGGAAAAAAAAGAAATCACAGATGATTACTAACCCACTTAAAAGGAATCATGCCGATTTTCAAGCAGTAAATCTAAACTAGATCTATACAAGTCCACCAAAATTCACATAAAACCCATTTACTGAACAAATTCGATATTAAGCATTCCATTTCAGAAAAGAAACCACAATACATGAAGAAGGAACTGAAAATGGTACCTTGAATGAGTAACAAAAAGGAAAACAGTAAGTGTAAGATGAAGGAAACTGGTTGAAAAACTTCAAAAGAAAAGGAACAACAGCAATAACCAACACAGCAGCAGGAACCAGTAGTGAAAATCAAACAAACAGCTTCAAAGACCAGCCAAGCTTCAGCTTAGAAGACTAGAATTTCCATGAAAACTTTTAAAATTACAAAAGAAAATCAGAAAGACCAGCCAGTAATGCAGAAAACTGTTTTTGTGTTTTTTAGGGTATGAAATTCTGATTGTTTTTTCAGGACTTTGGTGCAGAGAATAATAATCTAAAATCTGTGAAAGAAAGGAACTACTTACAGGCCTAAAAGGCCATGTGCCAAAAGCCAAATCAGGGAAATATTCCCTCAGCCTGAAAAGGCATCTTTCCTAACCAACTAGGATAGCTGGTTGTCCCCTATTGGCTCGGCATATTTGTGTTAACCAAATAAGGACAGCTGCCTCCCATTCTAGAAGTTTCCTAATGTAGGAATTATCTGAAAGTCCCTATTTCATTTCCCAACTTGAACCCTAAGTTTACAATTGTTCAATTGACCCCCCTAAGAGTTTCTAACAATTACAAACCAGGGCAAACAACATCAAACAAGAATTAAAAGGAAATAAAGATCAAATGGCACAAACCCTAAAACCTTTAACTAAACCTAGATTCTCTTAGCATGAACTGAAATCAGAAATGAGGCAAAACAGAGATATTTAAACCTAATTACTAACACAAGTCCAGAATTAATCAATAATGAGCCATTTTCTAAGAAGTAAACCCATTGAAGAAACCAACATTACTGTATCAGGGAATCACAACAACAGAAAGAAACTAGCATACTGATTTTAACTCAAACTAACTAGACACAAGTTAAACCAATATTTAACAAACCCTAGCCGAAAAACTGACCATCTAATGACTCTGATGGAAAATGCATAAATTAACCCTAAACTACTGACTAACATCAATGATTAATCACAAAAGTTAACAAACAATTCTGAAAAATTAAAACCCTAAATCATGCAACTACGAACAGAACAACCACAACAAGAAATCAATGTTCAAGAAAAGAAACCAAACGAGAAATTACCTATACCAGTTGGGACTTGGAGAACCTGACCGGAGTTTGGACATGGTTAGGGCAGGTTTGAAAATGAGTCAAACCTACATGAATCAATTGCTCCTATTGAGAAGCAAATGACTCATGTAGGTATGAACCATTTGAACTTCAGTAGAGGCTTTTAGGTTTTTCTTTCTCTTTTTTTTCCAGATTTTCAATTTGAAATTACTCCAGTTTGAAAGGCATTTTGAGCAAAATAGCAGGATATTAGGGGTGAGGGGAGCGGAGAGATGACCTGGTGAGGTTTTGGGGTGGTTTGGGCAGACTAGGGTTTTGGGTATCAATCTTAAATCTAAAATTGGAGGGATTTGAGAGGGACTCGAGGAATTGGTTCTATATTTTGGAAAGAGGAGGAGGTGGGTAGTGTTTGGTGTGAATTTGGAGTGAATCGGAGCACCGGAACCGTCGTGAGGCGATTTTCGGCAGGTGGTTGACGGCGGAGGTGGCGGAGGTGGCGGAGGGTGTGAGGGCGGCTAGGGCTTCACGTCTCTGAGGTTGAGAGACATGGAATGGGGGGTCGAATGGGTATGGCGGCATTTGGACAGTCTTATACTTAGGGGGTTAGTTCCGAACCATTGGATCACTAGGATACAACGACTGTGATCAAAGATAGTCGAAACGGGGTCGTTTTGGTTTAGACGGGGCTGGCTGGACCGGGTATGGGGCATTGGGCTGGATTTGGGGCGAGTTTGGGAAAAAATATTTGGGCTTCAGCCCCTTTGGCCTAATAAAATCAAACCCCTTCTGAATTAACCCTTTATTTCCTTTTCTTTTTGTTTTTGTTTTTCTTTTTTTTCTTTAATTAAAAACTTAAATCAAAATCCTAAATTAATCTAGATTGTAAAACTAACCAATTTCTTAAAATTATAAAAATTCCTTGATCCTAAATCAAAAAGAAAAATCGATAATCTAGCAATTAAAAGGTAAAAATGTAAAATGGCCCATTTTTGTAATTTTTCTTATTTTTAATAAAATAAATAATTAACTAACTAATCCTAAAAATGTAAGAATAAAATCTAAATGCAATGCAAGGTATTTTGGCATTTTTCATGATTTTTAATGAAAATTAAACATGCACAAACATGCAAACAATTAATAAAATTCTACAAAAATCCTACAAAATGAAAAATAATTGGAAAAAATCTATTTTCTTGAATTTTATAGGAGTAATTCATATAGGGCAAAAATTACGTGATCACAATTGTGACACCAAATTCTGGGTAGAGTTGTATGTTGGATTATGTACTAGTATATGGTTAAACTATTAGTTTTCGTCTTCTGCATTTCTGTTTATTGTAATTATTCCGCTATTGATCACCTGTTATATTGAACTGTTAAAAAGGCTAAGTAAATGGGTTAATGAATCTATAATACTCGGCTTGCCTAGCTTTTATGAGTAGGCTCCGTCACGACTCCTGAGGGTGGGAAATTCAGGTCGTGACAATTTTCAAGCCCCAACATCCACTAAAACCCTATATCTGTTTACAAATAACTATTACAAGCCCAAATAAATACAAATAAAATTAAGGAATTTTTTCATACATGTACAAAATTAGAAACGTTATTACCAAAAATGTCCATGTTTACATAATTATCCGACCTACCCATGTTTAGACTACAAAATATATACATTTATTTAAAGAAGAATCCTTTATGCATTAGCCTTCCTTTTTTAGACGCGGGGAATTGGGATCACAGAGGATTCTTCGGAGAATTTACTGACGCAATCTTCACAATTTATTTAAGCTTGCTATTACATCGATTTACTCTCATCAACGTCGCACAATCAAGTTCATTACTCTGATTTTCTGTATCTCCTCTGGTTTCAAAATCAGAAACGAAGATCGGCGGAAAAAAATTGCAAACAACTATCTCCAATAGTATTGAATTCGGCGATATAATGACAAATTTAGCTATTATGCTTCAGCTAAATGGTCATTGGGATAGCATTGGCAGGTACAACGATTTTAATGTTGATAGAATAGTAGTCAGCAAGGATTAAAATTACAATCAATTGAATTCTGCAATTGCAGAACATCTAATGATCAATACCTCTGAGAAAATCATCGAAATCAAATACATTGTCAATGAACATTGTCCTCCAATGGAAATTAGGAACGATATGGGAGTTCGAGTATACATGGAGACCAAAAAGGAAAACAAAAGCTTAGGAATGTATCCGCTATGTATAACAGTGTGTGATTTCGATTTGGAAAGCAGTAGCTCTAATACGAGCACAATTGCAGGTTTGTTTTGTATTTTCAGTGGTGATGTTCTGTCAGTTTTTTGTTTTCTACAATTATTCTACACAATAACTATAATGATACAACTAACAAATGTAGTTCAACTATTATAACTGTTGAAGTATTCAATTTTAATTATTACACAATTTTACTACAAATTAACTACAATATACTTCTGAATTGTATATACTTTTAATTGAGTGCGGGTTCATCTGGAACAGTGCTGTTGATGGATAGGCCAGCATCTCCGCCGATTGGGGAATGTGAAAGTAACATAATAATAGAACATACACCAAATGTTATTGAAGTAGGCCAAGTCTACAAAGACAAGCAAACAATTGTCAATGCAATGAAGCACTATTCTGTCATGAATAAGTTCTAATTTAGGGTGAAGAGGTCTAGCGCAAGAAGGTAGGAACAGTTCTATTGTCAAATTTGTATTTGTGTTTATTTTATAGTTGTTTGGTATTCTTTTATTTATAGGTAGTGCTTTCTTTGTATATAATTGTTAACAAATTTGTAGTTTTTTTGTAAATAAATTGTTTAATATAAGATTTTTGTGCTTAAATAGCCTATTAATTTGTAGCGATATTTTTCATACCAATTTTTAACTTATTTTTTTTATGTAGTTACTGCCTGGTTTGTATTGGGGACAATTGTACATGGCAATTCAAATCAACCATCATAAACGAATCAACATTGTTCAAGGTTTGAAAATTCAACAGCCTGCACACATGCTCTTTGATGGACAATACACACATACAACGCAAAGCAACTGTCATGGTAGTTGCCAGCATGGTGATTCCAAAATATACGGATCCTAAGACAATATACACACCAAAAAAAATACAGACTGATATGTTGTCGGATCATGGTGTGAACTTAACATACATGCAAGCTTGGAGAGTAAAGGAAAAGGCTTTGGAATTTTTGAGAGGTCACCCTGCTGATTCCTACAGTCGCTTGCCAAGTTATTTGTATATTCTGGAGAAGACTTATCCGGGGACGGTAGTTAATTTAAAGAAGACTGAAGATGTTTTTTTCTTGTACGCATTTGTTGTGCTTAGTACATCCATCAAGGGTTGGGAGTATTGTAGGCCAGTTGTGGTAGTTGATGGAACCTTCTTGAAGTCGGCATACAAAGGAATAATGTTAACAGCCAGCACAATGGATGCAGCAGGTATTGTAGATTCTTTGTAGAAATATTGTTGTAAAGTTATTTTCAGTATCTACTTTTTATACTATCAAATTTTATTACAGAAATTGATTTTCTTTTTGCCACCTGTGTGATAGGTAGCATATTACCACTGACATACGCTATTGTTGATTCAGAAAATGACGCAGCATGGAATTGGTTTTTTGAGCAATACAAAGATGTGTATGGTGAAAAACCTAATATGTGTATTATTTCGGACCGAAATGAGAGTATCTTGAAGGCAACATCTACTGTTTATACTGGAAGGCCACATTATGCTTGCATGTGGCTCATTTGGATAAATGTAAGGTCAAAGTTCAGGAAGGGTTATCTAAAGATAAGCAAATTGTACTTTGCAACAACACGATCATACACAATTGATGAATTTAATGAAAGAATGTCAAAGAATGAAGAGATCGACGTGTGCGTTAAAGCATACTTATACGATATTGGCTATCACAGATGGTCTCGGGTACATGCTACGGTGAACAGAACGTGGACGATGACATAAAACATTGCAGAGTCATTGAATGCGGTAAGAAAAGATGCAAGAGAGATGCCCATAGTAGACCTATTAGAGTACATGAGGACTCTTCTTGAAAGTTGGAATAATGAAAAGTTATTGAAAGCAAAGGGTACATTCACATACCTTGGGAAAAATACAACAAAGAGTTTGAGGACAACAAGACATTATCGTAGAAGATGAGAGTAAGCTATATCCAGTAACATCAGATCAACGATTCCATCAAACTAAATATATAATGTTAATTGTAGATAACTTGTAGTAAAAATGTTGTTATTTTGTACATATCGCTGACAATTAGTTGTGTGCTTGAAATGAATTTGTAGGTGAGGGCTTCAACAGACCACATCCATACAGTGCTATACGGTGCGGAGCGCTTTATTGTTTACCTTCAAAACAAAAGATGTAGTTGTGGACAGTTCCATCTTGACGAACTTCCTTGTCCACATGCTTTGGCGGCCTTGAGGCACAGGGATGAGTCTTATGAAAACTATTATTATCCTTATTACATGAGGGAAAGTCTTTTGAAGACTTATGAAACACCAGTAGATCCGCTTCCTGACGAAAGCAAATGGAATGTACCACAACATGTAGCCGAAGAAGTTGTAAAGCCACCAACTGGGAAAAGACAGCCATGGAGACCTTAGAAATAAAGATACAAACCATTTGATGAAGTAAAAGCAAAGAAGTACAAGTTTCACGTGAAAACTGTGGGCTAGAAGGGCATAACAAAAGATCTTGTAAGAATTCACCCAAAAGGAAATAAAAATTGATAAAGTAACTACAACTTTTTGATAGATTGTATTGAGGTATTCTGGAGAATTATAGTTGAGTTGTAATTCTGTTGATAAATTGAATATATCTCCTATAATAAAATATTTTCAACTCTTAATACAATTGGTTTGTAGTTGTTTTGTTGAATTACATTTCTTGAGACAACATCCTTAGGGTGGAGTCATCACAGCAACAGTAAAAGAATGGGAACGACATTCCCATTTTCACAAAACGCAACTGTAAAATTAGCAAGTGTTGCAGCACTCTTAGACAGACTAATCAGATGAGGAACATCTGCAAATTCGTATCCTAAGGACATCAATATCTCCTCAGCCCACTAACTTAATACATAATGAAACATCATAAATGTAGTTAAGTTGTAAAGAAATTTTATGCTAAAAATAATGAAGCAAAGGGTAACCACACAAAACAAAAGTAGTAGAATAAAGTACTAACAATTTTGAACCAAAAAAGAATCTCCATAGTGTTTTCGATTTAAAGTAGTAATTTCCTAGGCAAAAATAACAAAACTAAAGGTAAAACAATTGTAGCACAAATCTGCTACAAATATGTTTCAACTGACTTGTTCTAAGTTAACAATTTATCTACAACTTTACTATAAACCCACTACACCTACATATTTTAACTACAATTTTTTTACAGAATAGGGAAACTAATTCTTCTTCTTCTTCCGGACTTCTGTTCTCTCATTTGCAGCTGGTGGACCTTTTCTGCTTGCTAATCTGCCAGTCACCTCACTCTCACTAGTTGCACCAATCTTTTGCTTTTTCCTAGCATAATCCCAAAGTAGAGCTCCATAGCGTCTACGATATTGATCAATATCAGAAAGGTCTTCCTTTAAAATCAATAGCTCTTCAATGCTGACATATTCAGCAAATGTCACAACGTATACACCACATTTACTGCAAACAGAAATTAGGGGGGAAAATTTAGCATTCAGCAGTTGAATAAAATTTGTTAAATAAATAGAAGGAAAAGTAGCTTTTTCATACAGTGATCCCTCTTTTTGCTGAGGTATCTCACCGACCAACCACTAAATGTCAAGAGGATCAGTAACACCTTTTTCAGTGTATGTCTTTGTGTTAGTTGATGTCTGGACGCTTGTCATAGAAGTCGGTGGATGACAAGTATAGGGGGATCATTGTTGCAAATCTGTTGACAACAGATTCAACAAGGATATGATTGTATGAAGAGACCATAGAATCATAAACATATAGAACCCTTTCGGTAATGTCAAAAACAGCTAACAGCTAGTGAACTTTTTTCACAATATTTATGGGCATAATCACAAAATCATCTTGATTTCATGCAACATTTGCAAGTAGCCTATTTATCAATATGTATTCTACTACGACATCTTGGGATTTCACAATAGCAAGCTACTTATTGTCAGGAGCATTAATGTATTTTTCATAAATTTATTTAATTCTAGTCTTGAAAATGCAGTCAGTGGTTGTAAAACGTGTTTTGTTCACAGGACCATACTTTTCTCTCTTTCTCAATTGTATAAAATAACATCAATGTGCTGCAAAAAAACAGAGTTCATTATTTCTTAATGTTTCAAACAAATTAACTACACTTTTTTAAACAGAAAAACTACAATATTCTCCAATAATAGAATACTACAGCTAGTCATTTCATTATGCCAGGGTATATGTTTACCGTATTATTGAGGACTTGTCCGGGATGTGCTAAAGTTTAAAACTACTCCTTTTTATCAACTTTCTCCACTCCAAGATCATACCACGGCTTAAGCTGGTTATCTTTTATAGAATAAGGCACCTTCCTCCTATTTAAACACATAGCAATTACAATAAATATGTAGATTCAACTGGAAATCAAAAAATTGTATGAACTCGATAATATGAAAATTTGTATAATATAACCTCTTTGACACCGTGTCGGTACCAGAGTATAACAACAACAACAACAACAACAACCCAGTATAATTTCACTAGTGGGATCTGGGGAGGGTAATATGTACACAGACCTTACCCCTACCCCGAGGGACAGAGAGGCTGTTTCCAGGAGACCCTCGGTTCAAGAAAGCTACAAGAGACGATATATTAGTACTAATCAATAAACTCATAATAAAATAACATAAAATAAAAATAACAGCAATATAAGAAATATAGAAAGTACGAAAAAAATGGAAGATATAATAATATCCAGCAGATCAGTAGCTGACCAGTAGCATCCTAAGACTAACTCCTAACTGGCTAGTCTCACTTTAGTGCGCTGAAGAAATACTCACAACTTCCCCCTAGCTTACAACCTTAATGCTCGACCTCCAGAGTATAACAGCTTATTGAATTCTTCCAACAAGTCAGAATCAACATCGCCGCCAATAACCCCAGCAAATGGATGCTTGATGAGAAAAATTGGAGGTCCTTCTGAAGTGCTCCCCCCAGAACTGTAAAAAGGGAGAAAGGGGGATCTTGCATGCTTTCCAGACTGCCTTGTTCTTGCTTGTAAAGTAGGGGTTGTGTCATCTTGGATAGGCTCGCCAAACTTAACAATCTGGGAGAAGTTCTCTAGAAGCTCAAAATTATCAAGTGGTACTTCCCTTTTTTCAAATCTGCAGTCATCTGAATCACCTACATTCATGTACTCGGTTGGTTCACCTTCAAAATTTAAAGCAAAAGAATAAGAAAAAATGTTGCATCAGTTCTTCAACAAAAATTGAAACAAATTGTCAAAACCTTTTTTTTCTACAGTTGTAATGTAACATATAATACTACTGAAATGTTACCGGCAATCGTCTCCTATTGGTATAACATTTTCTTGTTGAATGGGAGATTGAATTTTTGTTGTCTCCTTCTCCTCATTTAAATGCTCTCCTGGAATATCAATATTAGCTTCCTGTTTTGGAGAGTCCACATGCATAGTTTCCTTCTCTGTTACAACAAATATACGCAACTTAATTAATTTGTAGATAATTTGTAGGAAACATTAACAAAAATGTAGATAAATTGTAGTGAAAGTATAGTAAATTTGTAGAAATGTTGTCCTGCATTTGATATGGAAAATGTGAAATATGATGATAACATGTACTAAATCATACCTGCATTTTCTTCATCAAAAGCCCCTTCAAATTTGGAAGACAAATCAACACCTACAAGAACATTCTTCTCAATTTGAATGTCATTTAGGTATCCTGTATCTATGAAAATCGTTGGAAATATAATATAGATTAGTTGTTAGTAATTTAGGATATATGTAGATATAATGTAGATATAATATATATCTATATAATTATATAAAGTAGGGGAATACAAATCTGATGCGGCACCTCTCAAATGGCAGGGTTTTTATTTCTCTCTTTTCTTAGGGCTTTGCCTATTTTAATAAAGAAAAATAGTTCCATATTGAAAAACAAATAGTCCCGTCTCATTGTATTCCATCGATTACCGTCGTGTCAAAAGACAAAAAATCCTAACAGTTGTTTCTCCTGAAATTCATCCCATAACAGTCGCTCACTCTCGCTCTCTTAATTACTATATATTTATCCTTTTCTTTATCCTTTGTCTTTAGTACTCTTCTTCTTTTCCAATTGCTACAGAGGAGTTGTTTCTCTCAATGCTCAAGCTAAATCACTTTGTTCTTTTGAATTTTCTTGTTTTTCCTGCTTTTCTTTTCTAACCTATTGTATATTGTCTGTATTTTGTAAACCTTGCAGTATAGTCAATCCGGAGCATTAATTGACTTAATGGTATATTTTACTCCTTCAATAGTTTGTTAATTAGTCATTTATAAAATATTCTGTAAAATTAAAGTCATTATTTGTTAGCATTCTGTAAAATTGAAGTCACAATTAGTTTCCTACCTCCAGGTAATAGGGTTTTACAGAATTGCATTGCACGAAGAGAAGTAGAGAATCAAATATCTATTTTTTTCCTTTGAATTTGTTTTCATTCTTAAGTTTATTTTTCCTATGGCCTATAGCCGCTCATTCTTGAATAGTTCTCATTCTTCTCAATTTGACATTTTGGCACTCATCACTTACAATGACCACATTTACGGGGTAATACTAGAATAAATGAACTTGATAGTAATTGTATTGTAACCCTTTTGCTAAAGGGGTTGGGTTTAAGAATAGGTAGAAATGACCAATAGTTTTGTAAGGATGAACTATAGTTAGTTGGCTTGTGATTAGTTTTCTGCATGTCATGAGGTATATAATAGTTTAATAACTTGTGTTTCTAATCTACCAATGTCTTTCAACAATGACATCATTGGCATAATTCAATTTGCTAATTGTTGGAAGAAGCCAGTATTCCATTCTAGGGGTGGACATTCGAATCTGTTTATCAATAAATCGAATTGATTGTTTGTTATCGATTTATCGATATCGGTATTTCAATTTCGATTTCGAAATTTTTCTTATCGAGTTATCGATTTCGATTTCGATTTTGTCCTCTTCGATTATCAGTTTATCGATAAACCGATAAGATATTATAAAAAGACAAATATACCCTTATTCTATAATATCCTTTCATTTACCCTAAGTCCCTAACCCTATTATTTCCTCTACCCATTCTTCAGAGCCGCATTTACCTTTTTCTCTCTCTCCTGCGAGCTGCAAACCCAGCAGAAAAAGCGAACTCCGGCGAACTCCGACATACTCTGGCGTACTCTGGCGACTTCAATAGTACGTTTCTCCCTCTCTATCTCCGTGCTTTTGTTACAATTTCAAGCATCAGCAGATTTCACCTCCGTATCCATTTCAAGAGACCTTCTCTCTCTGTCATTGACCTCTCTTCAGGTACCCTTTTTGCTTTGATGTAGAAACGGGTATTTTTTTTTATTTGCGTATTCTTCTGTAGTCATCATATATGCTTCTTCAACTCCA